TCAGATATTGCACGAACCCAAGTCAGAATCAGGGTTTAAGTTGGAACAAAAAAAATTGCGGCAGCACTAGAACTAGGTTTTCTAGTGCCACTTTCAAGGGATTTATTTCAACCTTACAGCCCATGTAAAAAAGGAATGAATTTAGCATTATAAAGAATCCTAATTAGCCTAAGAATCCTGACAATTTCGGTAGCAGTGGGGAAGGATAAAGAGAGCAGGAGATGGTTGAAACAAGGTTCGAAAAAAATCTCTTTCTCCTCCGCTTTTGTCAATTTTCTAGCAAACATGAGCTACACTCCTACACTTGGTTCAAAACGGGTATACACCATCTCTAGCACGTGGGGTCCAAAATTGAGTAACAACAAACATATGAAACCAAAGAAAGTTTTCAATTCCGTAAAAAAACTAGCAGCAGAAAGACAGGAAGTACAGTTTTAAACTTAGTACCAAAGCTGAATTGGCTATTTAGCAGTGGTGGGCACATTGAAAAGCTAGTACAAACTCCATAATTGATTCCATATATAGTCCTGTGTTTTTACCATTTATTTCATATGAAGAATAGAATCACACATTTGGATTTCATGCAAAGCTTTTTTCACCTTGTCTTTAACAAAAACAGATATTTTTCAGAACAAAAGTGATTAAAGGATAGGAAGATAACCACCACACTTGACAGGAAAAAAGGTTAATACAAAATTCCAGTTGTGTTAAACATCCACTAGAGAAGCTCCACTGCAAGACTCTGCAGCATTACTCCACAACGAGGTTCAGAAAAACAATATCTATCACACTACAGATGCTTCATAAGGGATAGTAATATTAGCCATGTATTCAGCATCTCATGTCACTAAAACTAAATACTTTGGTGTCCTACTAGTTTGAAAAAGGCTGAGTGGCATCATTACTGCCAATCTATATATTGGCATGGGTTAGCTTGAGCATGATAGCCATGCTTTAGGAGAAAGTAAGCTGTAAACAAATCATTAAATGAAAAGGTATGAGGAGATTCATCAAGCTATAGGGTAAGGTGAATGACAAATGCAGTAATATTTTAACACCATGTTTCTTGGACGAATAGCATAGGAAGGTTTAAATCTCTTACAAAGCATACATGTACACGAGTGTCAAGCATCCAGAATAAAAAGATAAATCCAAGCACATATTATATTCCCGTGGAACTCACAAGATACAATTCACTTAATTAATTAACCAGGAATTTTTTTAAAGCTAACCTCGTATTGATCAATACGCCTCCTCAGTTTCTGCTTATTGACTTCATCATCTTCAATGTCAACTGCTTCATCTTGCCCAAGTTCAAAATCATCAACAATCTCTGGAGAGTCCATTTGATTCACTATTATATCATCTTCAACAGTTCTGTAGTGGTATTTAGTATCCATTTCAAATGAGATTAAAATTAAAAGAGTAATAATCTCTTGTGATTGAAATTGCAATATAATAAATTAAAGATGACATAGATGTAACAGACTGACTCCTTGTCATTACAAACTTAAACAAATGTGATCGTGACTTTATTTTTTTGCAATAGCAAATTCTTATATCAGACAAATTCAACCTATAGCGCACTAGGAAGAATGAATTTTCATTTCAATGTAGTAATGTACAACTTGTATTATTATGCATTCTGCTTCCACTAAATTTTTAAAACAAGTTGCTAGGAATAAAATGCTGAAGCTATGAAAGTGTACAAAATTTCACCATAGAATGAATAATCTATACAGCCCTACACTCTATTTGCTGAGATTTACAGCAGTTATCATAGTTACATCCTGCATATTCTGTATCATAGAAGATAGGCACCCTTATTCCATCACTGCCTTTGTCAATAGTTTAATTTTCGGCCCATATGACTGCAATGTGCTATGCAGGGAAAAAAAGGGCATCCTACAATAGCATTACATGTTGCCAATGAGATACTAATTCAGTGAGGAAGACCTTAAATTGACGAAGGCTTGACTACCGACTAAGTACCCTAAAAGAAAAGGACAGAAGAGGGAGAATAAAAAAGCTTTACATGTTCACCTCCAACCTCCAACAAGACTAGACTCTCACAGAAATCATGTTCAGAAACGTTAAAGCATGCAATAAGGATTGGAATTAATTAAATCAAATTTATGCTACTTCTGATTTTTTGACTTGGATTTGGAACATCTATATTCACAAAAGCTTAGTGTCTCCACAATATTGTAAGAATCCAACCATTTTGAAACTAATAAATAAGAATCCGGTGCTTCACTTTGAGAAAGAACTTGTCATCCTCCAGTGCTTTGTTCATGACACAAAACCATACAGCAACTTCTATTAGTGCAGTTCACAAGGATTCTAGCAAGTAAACAATTTACCTTGCAAATATTTTAAAATCATCCCGAGTACTTCCTAGGAACCTGTCAAATTTTCTTCAATCAAAAAGCCCCATTCATCCACTTCCTCGCCAATTTCTTATCTCTATTCATTTCTTCCTTAAAAGTTCTTTATCTAGTTTTCTAGAACTCAGCCCTCGTCTTCAGGAGAGAATCCAGCAAAAGCTCTTTGTCGAAAAACTTTCACCATTGCAAAAATAAGATCAACTTTTTACACGTAGGGACCAAGACTGAAACCGAGACCAGAGGGGTTGGTTTGCCCTAATCATTCATAATTGGTTCTTGAGCTTACAAACATAAGCCTCACCAAGAAAAAGTAGCGAAACCACTTTCTCTTAGTTCTTTCTAAGTAGACAAACAAACCCAGACACAAAAATGCTGTCTTTTCCACAGGAAATTCAGAAAATTCACAGAAACCACTCCATTTTACAAAAACAAAGCCCATTAATCAGCACAAGAGCATCATCAAGAAAAACCCATCAAGAAACAAGCACATAGATCACTAAAGAAACCAATTTTTGCTTAGTCTTTGGTATGCACAGAGAGAGGGAGAGTTTGTTACCCAATCATGGTCATCTTGAGAGATGGTTTGAGGGGTAATTGAGAGAGAAAAACGGAGTCATCAGCGAGTTTGTTACCAATTTTGGGGTAAAGAAGCTTTTGCCTCTTGGGCAAAACGTTGGTGAGTTCGCAGAGACGGCGCTTCAACCCAGCTACTGAGTCGTCGCCACAGGCTCGGACAGTGTACTCCTTTCCGCTCCATTTAACCGTCAGCGTTATCTCTTCTTCTGTCGCCGACGAGGTTAGTGAAGTAGAAGCAGCCATTTTTTTATTTATTTTTTTGGGTCTCTTCTTCACAACGACTATCTCTGGTTTTAGTCTCCCCTCTAATAGAACTTAGGCATAATGACAGTTTTTGTCACTTAGTTATTGAGGCTGTGACAAATTGAGGCTTTTGCTATTGATCTGGTCAATTATATCCTTTGATAGTACTGGCCAGATTGAATCAATATGGCTTTATATTATTTAGCCGTACTCATTGTCAAATTAATTTAAAAAAAACAGTTAAATATTTAAATATTACTAACATATTTTTAAAAATATAAATCATGTAAAGATTTATTATATGTGACTTAATTAATTGGGTAGGTTTAAAAACAATATGGATAATCAGAGAAAAATATATAGTTTAACTAAAATTTTTTTAATATGATATATTTAAAAATAATAATAAGACAACAATATACTAGATCGACCCGAATTAACTTATATTAACATTTAAAATCTGCAACTTAGATTATGACTGTGATAACCTCATAGAAAATAAATTAAAAATTATTTTTAAACTCAATTCTCAATTAACTCAATATTGAAAAATAAAATTACAAAAATAAAAAAGCACTCAAGTTAACATATGTTAACCTACCAAATTTGAACCATAAGATTAGGATAACCCAAATAAAACAACAAAAATAAATTATGAAACTCAATTCTCAATCAATACAATATTAATTAAAGGATAAAAAAAAAAAACTCGAGTCAACTAGGTTTAACTCATCAATCCCTTAACTTGGACTATAAGATTAAGATAACCTTATAGAAATTAAACCAATATAAATTATAAAGTGCTCAATCAATCTAAATTAAAAAAAAAATCAATTACAAAAACAACTCAAAAAAACACAAGTCAATCAAGTTAACTCACAAAACTCATGACTTGGATCATGAGACTCGGATGACATCATAGAAATTAAACTGAAATAAATTATAAAGCACGATCTCCAATAAATCAATGTTGAATGTTGAATTTTTTATAAAAAAAAAAAAACAAAGTATTATTGGTTTTCCTTTTTCAATTAGTTCTTTACTAGGCTGGTGCCCACACTACGCTGCAAGTCCGTATTATTTTTTCAGTAAGATATTTAGGCATCGCAAGTGCTTTTTTAAAAAAATCTAAAAACTCGGGTTATTGATTAGTACTTAAAAGTGTATTTTTATCAATATTTTATATCATCATTTTGCACTTGTAATATCAATAACACCTTAACTAGAGCATGTTTTATAATAACAAATTCGATATCATAAGATACCTTTAATTTATGGTAAATATTCATCCTAAATATAGGTCTATCACATAAATAAAAGGATTAATTGATGAATTGAGGTATTGAAGTATTGAAATCGAAAGGACAAAGAGAGGGTGAACCTTAAAAAAGAGACGCTGGTTTAGTCCAAACTGGAACACTGTTCGGTAATTGGATCATAACTGAAACTGTAGAACTTTAATTTAGGACTGCTTTATATGGATGGAAAGTTAAGACATAAGCATAAAACTTTCATGGGAAGGCAAGACTAAATTCTGCTGTTTGGAAATCCAAATCTTAGTAACAATATAAAAGTTTGAATCAGTCATATAACCCAGACATTATTTAGTGTTCAGCACATATCTCGAGTTCTAAAAGTTCAAATGACCTCAATTTTTTTTTTTAAAAAGCTGACACAATTTCTTAGAACTTTCATGAGGAGATTGGTTCAAATTCTGACGTTATCAATTATGCTTTTGGCAGACAAGAAGATAAGGATTGTTACCAAGTCAAGATATGGTCACCCACTCAACAATTAGTCATCAAATCAATAGTTTTAAATTATGGCCTATAAAAGGAGGCATCTGTCATGCATTTAGGCATCTTAGTTTCTAGACCAAGATCATACTTTTGCTTTCTCTCTTTATATTTTTGTAATGCTTAAGTTTTGCTTTCATTAATATCTTGTTTATACTTTTTCATTTCATTTCCTTTACTTAGTTAACTTTTATCTTATTTATGTTCTTATCTTGTTTATTTATGTTTCTCTATTTCATTATATTTAGCTATGTTTTTTATGTCAAAGTGAAAATGTTACACTAATGGTGTAAGAACAAGTATAGTGTACATTTAACATGGACTTTAATGTTTGATACTAACATCAGGAGCAGAGTAAGAAAAAAAAGTAAGGGTGGCCAAATTTTATAAAAAAAATGATTCTAAAAAGATTAAAATTTCAGTTATTTTACTAAACATTATCAAGGGAATTGTCAGGGGAAGGAATAACTTAATTTATGGGTTCTTGATAGTGACTTTTTCACTAAAAAAAATAGGCGTATTTTCATTCAATAGTTCTTCTCTTTTGAAAACAAAAATTCCACATTTTTGTCTCTAGAAAGCAACAAGTCAAAGGGACATTGATGATTGGAAAAAAAAAATTCCTTGCAAGGGTCGGGGCCCCTAATAGCCCCCCTGCCTCTGTCACTGACTAACATGTTTTATATTTGTTATCTTGTTTATTTTTAATACTTTGCTTATTAAATGGTTAGTCTAGATTTATGTTGTATAACACTTAGTACAACAAATACTTGACACTTTTATAGCCCAACCATATGGTATAACCGACACGTGTACTATAAAAGGAATTTGATTTGTTATTAACATAAGTTATAATCATGAATACCTGACAA